TCAACAAATGAGGAAAACACGCACACAGTTTGTAAGAGTGACAAGCGCTGTGGATCAGATGTAAACTGCGAAGGGGTTGGAATGCTGGCTGGGGCTGAAGAATGGATGGTGGTTAGATGGGGACAAACTGCGAAGGGGTTGGAATGCTGGCTGGGGCTGAAGATGGGGACCCTGGGAAGAAAGACCTCCCAGACGCTCACACCCAAGGATGGGTGGCGGAGTCTTGCTGCTCCCTGGGGGTAGCGAATGCAGGTGGAGGGAGCAGCCAGTGCCGAGACCCTAAGGTAGGGGGTGCTGGACTGCAGGAGGGTAGGAGGAACAGCAAGGAGGGCAGGGGAACAGAATGAGTGAGGGGGAGAATGGAAGGAGAAAAGGGCAAACTGGTGGCGGGACCAGTTAAGGAGCATCTCTGGACCATTCTAATGTTGGCTTTTAACCATAACGCTGGCTTTTAACCGAGTGAAATGAGAGCCAGGGGACGGTTCTGAGTGCATCTGGCTGCTGTGTGGAGAACAGACTGTGGGGTGAGGGCGGAGGCAGGTGGATTACTGCGTTAGTCCAGCGGGGGGAGGGCGCGATAATGGTTTGCCCAGGCTGGGGGCAGTTGGTGGAAGGGGGACAGGGGCTAAACATTGTTTTTGTGTTATTTCATTTAATTTTCTTTTTAAAACTCTTGATTACGTAGGCATATTAGTATAATGAACCCCCATAAGCCCATCACTGAGCCCCAAACACCAACCCACGGCCTGTCCTGCCCCCTCCACACCCATCTGTCGCATCCCCATCCTGTGCCATTGAAAGCAAATCCCACATGTCATGTTTCATGTGTAAATCTTTCAATATGTATGTCTAAGAGAGAAGGACTCATGTTAAGAAGTAGCCACAAAACCATAATCCCTCTAAAAGAAATGAGCAGAAATTCTTAATGTCACCAAAAATCCCCTTCTCCCACATGTATTTTTTGATGCGTCTGGGCCTCCCTCTCTTTACCATAAAGTGAGCTTCACAGTGGCCCCTCCTCCCAGGCTATTGTGAGGGAATCGAGGTAAGATGCTGAGCACAAGCCTCACATATAGTAGGTGTTCAACACGTGACAGCTGCTACTGTTAGGGATTGATGACAAACACTTATGGAACATTTGCTTAGGTCTGGGCTCTAAGTACTTCACTAATATGAATTCACTTAATTCTCACAACAATCCTTGGAGGTAGGTTATTATTTCTGTCCCTATTTTATGGGTGAGGAAACGGAGGCACAGAGAGGTGGAGTAACTTTCCCAAGGTCACACAGGTAGACAGGGCCAGAGCTGGGTTTTGAACCGAGGCAGTCTGGCTCTTAATCCCCATGTTATGGGCGCTATGTGAGCCCAGAAACAGAGGGGTGCCTTTCTCAGTTGGGGGCAGGTAAGGTCGGGTGTTGCCTGTGGTCAGATAATAGGTACACTGGAGTTCATGGGGGAGCACAGGGGCAGAGGAGGTGGATGGTGAAGCTTCAGGGAGGGATTAGCCTGTGCAAAGATCTGGAAGCTGGAGGGTAATGATGAGTTGAAGGGAAGGTCAAGGGGTAAGGAGGAGAGAGTATGCAGCAAGCCCTCCTCCATCCTTAGCCTTAACCTTGTGAGCTTTAAGGGTTTTGGCCATCTTGCTGACCACAAGATGGGGAGGGTTGGACCTTCCCAAGGGCACACATCCAGGGTAGGCCACCTATGGGCTTTGCGTGGGGGGCGGGAGAGGGAGAGGGGTTGAGCTCAGGCTGACTGTGTGCAGGGGCCTGGCCACCAGGTGCTCCTGCCCACCAATCTCTCTGAGGGAGTTACTGTAGGCGTGTGGGTGTGTGTGGGGGCACTGTGTGTTCTCAGAGCAGAGAAGCAGCCAGAGCTGCTGGCAGGAAGCAGTGGGCACCGTGGGCAGGGCCAGCTGGTGACTGTCCCCCTAAGGCCCATCAGCCAACAGATAGTGGGGGTGCGGCAGCTGGGAGGCCCCAAGAGAGATGACCTTGGAGAGGTTGGAAGAGAACAGAACGTCACCTCAGCATTCCCTGTGATCACCCCCTGATACTGGGGCATCTGCTGAAGAGCTCTGGGCTTGCCAGGGCCTCTGTCCAGGTGCAGGTGCTGAGGCCCCAGGGGCGGCATGACTTGCCCAGGGTCACACAGGGAGGCCTTCCACTCAGCCCTCATCAGTCAGGCCAGTTGGTACCTGGCTGGTCCCCGATACCTGCCTGGTCTGTGGGTTTGGAGCCAGCATCTCCTTTTCCAGCTTCACCTCAGCCCAGCACTCTTGGGTCTGGAGCTCCAAGAATCTTATCTTTAGTCCCAGTGCCCACACCCTCATTCGAGCGCCGGCCTCCGCCTTGCTGTGTGGCCTGGGCCTGGGCACGCCCCTCTGAGTTCTCTTCACGCCTGTCCAAAGGCCGGCCGTGACCCAGTTAGGCCGGGACGCACTCAGCCAGATCTCTCAGTCGATAACTCCCTGCACCCCTGACTTTCCCACCTTAGGGCCTTTGCACGTGCCGTGCCCACCTCCCGGGCTGCCCTTCCCGTGCCTCCTTACAGATGCAGTGGAGAGAGGATAGCTTTGGCATCACTGTGATCTGGGTTGGCATCCTCTCTACTTCCTGACTGGGGCAGCTTCCTGGAGCCCCCATGTCCTCAGGACTAAAACGAGCATGGCCACAGCTTGTTCCAGGGCTGTTGGGAGCACTGAAGGGGTGGCATGAACCCCAGGTGGGAGGATGTGAGGGGGAAAAGCGTGGGTCTCAACACCCTCATCAGCATGCCCCACTTCACCTCCCCAGCCTGCACTGGAAGGGGGGGCTGGGAAGGGGGCCGAGTTGGCCCTGGACCCTACCCAGAAGAGCCCAGCAGCAGGCTTCTTCCTTGGGCCCTTCCCAGGGGTTCTGGGTAGCACCCCTCCTTAGGGAGAAGCTCAGAGTGGGAGGGACGTATAACTCAGCTGCTAGAAGGTGGGATTTTAATCCCATCATTGGCCTATCTGTGCTTCAGTTTCCCCACCTGTGAAAAGGGATCATAGGAATGGCACATAGTAGGTGCTAAATAAATATTAACCATTACTACTGTCATTATTCATGTACCCCCACTCGGAGGCAGGAGTCCTATCTATATTGAAAAGCCACCTGTAGAAAAAATACCCCAGTTGAGTAGGAAATTTTTTTGAGAGTCTGAAGGAAAAAAATGGAATCAGGTAAAGATCCCTGCCCGTGGGGAGCGTCCCTTCTAGTGTGGGAGGTCACAGGGGAGGCAAGAAAGGGACGCAGCCCCCATCTGTGAAATGGGCATGTTGGGTGGCGCCGTCCCCCATGCTGCTCCGGGCCCAGCTTCGTCCTCTGTGGACAGGGCCAGTGCTGGCGGTTCCTGCCCCACAGGGCTGTGGTGAGGAAGGATGGAGCATCAGTGGGGGCCCAGCCTTGGGCGTTTAGAGGGGTCGCATATTCACTCCATAAGTGGTCCTTCTTGGGCTTGTGGCCTTGGGCCAGCCACTCTCCCTGCTCCAGCCTCCATTTCCCCGAATGGAAAACGGACTGTCCCTGGTGTAAGGACACCCAGCGAGAGCCAGTGGTAAGAGGCTGATAGTGGTCTGGGGCCAGGAGGGCCAGGAGGGCCAGGGCTCCCAGCTGGCCCTCTGCTGTCTTGGATGGTGGCCAGGGCACCTGACTTCCCTGAGCCTCCTTCTGCCCCCTCCTCTGAAAGACATGGCTGATTGCCCCTGTGTAGCAGGGTCCTGGTGAGAACTGGAGAGCAGAACAGTGACAAAGGCAATAATAATGTTAGCAGCAATAGTAAGGGCCCATTTATCAAGCACGGCCTTTGTGCCCAGGGCTTGGCGTGGGTCAGCTCATTGGCCTTTGCTACTGCCTGGGAATGACTATGGGCATCTCTATGGTACTGAAGAAGGTTTTTGTTGAGAGAGAGAGAGAGAGACACACCTTGGTGTGAGAAAGAAAGAAGTATTGGTCAACCACCTCCCATAAGTGCCCCAACTAGTGTGACTATGGGCATCTCTATGGTACTGAAGAAGGTTTTTGTTGAGAGAGAGAGAGAGAGACAGAGACCTTGGTGTGAGAAAAAAAGAAATATTGGTCAACCACCTCCCATAAGTGCCCCAACCAGGGTTCGAACCCACAACCTGGATATGTGCCCTGACCAGGAATGGAACCCACCACCCCTCGATGACCGGATGACGCTCCAACCAACTGAGCCACACTGGCCAGGACTGAAGGAGATTTTGGTTGATTTCCCAGAGTCCTCCCTATGTCACAGCAGGGGCCCATGGTGCTATACCCCACCTGGTTTGGGCAGGTGCCTGATGGGGCCTTTGTGCTCCCCTCTCTCCACAGGCAGGATGATGGCTGCCAATGGGCCGCGTCCATCCCCACCACCTCCTCCCTCCTCAGTCCCCATCCTCTGTCCCCACACATTCCTGCCACAACCTCCACCACCCACTCTTCCCCCCCCTGCTGGGCCATTGTTATCAGGAGACATTCCTGGACTGCCTGAGAACAGCTTTCACCTGGGGCCCTTCTGAGAGGGGGTGGGATCACTGATACAGGCCCTGCCAGTGGCTCCCTTGGGGGATGGGCCCTGGGGCACGAGGCTGTGAAGCCCAAACAGTCTGATACTGCCTGCTGATGCTGTCTCTTATGAACTGTGTGACCTTAGGCAAGCAACTTGACCTCTCTGTGCTCAGTTTTCTCATCTGCAAAGTGGGGCTGTCCACATAGGGCTGCTTTGGGTCTCCTGGGCTCGTGTGTGTTGTGTACTTCTTAGCATGGTGTCTGGCACGCAGGAGTCCCTCTACCCATCAACTAGCTGTTGTTATCATCTGAGAACCAATTGTCCGTCCTCCTTGTGGGCCCCCAGTTTAGACTGCATATGTACCCACCCTCTGCTGAGTGCACATCAGGAGGGTCCCTGTGGGCTTTCTCTTCTCCAGGCCTGTGGGACCAGGAGAGGGCAGAGCTGAGAGAGCTATGTTCAGAAGTCGAGAAGCTGCTGTGTGACCTTAGGCTGCACCTCTTCTGCTCTGAGCCTCCTATTTCGGGTCTGCTCTGTGAGCACTTGGACCTGGGTAAGGCCCGAGGCCCTCATTGTCCCCATCACCGCACTGTCTGTAATTCCTTCCTTGGCTGGTCTTTAGTGTTTCTCTCCCACTATGGTGCCTGGCGCATAGTAGATGCTCAGCTAAGCTTTGTTGAAGGAGCCAATCGATGCACAATGACTGAGTGAATACCCAGGGCTTTCCTAGTTCCAGGCCCTTTGCCAGGAGCATCATCCCCAGTAATCTCTACTTGTGGAACTCCTTGTCCTCGAAGCTCTTCTCAAATGCTGCCTCTGCCAGGAAGCCTTTCCTGGTTTCTCCCAGTTGGAGGGGATTGCTGGTGCTCGGAACACGTGGTCTGAGGATCTCTGGTGGCCCCCGCTACAGTCCACCTTGGTATACGTAGTACCATGTGAATAATCAACTAGACCCACACATTTACTAGGAGCCACACGTGGTGGGGAGCCCTGTGCCTTCGAGGTCTTATTAATCCTCCACAACAACCTTGCAAGGTAGCTATGATTATTATCCTTCCCTTTGCAGACTTCAGAGGCTCAGAGAAGTGAAGCAATTGCCCAGCTATGAGAGAGCGAGCCAGGATTTGAAACCAGGTAAGCCTACATTTTCTCTTAAAAGGGAAAGAAAAAGCATTAATACACACATAGTAAAAAATAATTCAAACAGTACAAACGAAACAGGAAAAAGAAATCTCTTTGCACCCAGGTATCTTTGCCAGAGCTATTCATTGAGAGGTGTTTCTGGTGTGTCCTTCTAGGGAGATCCAGGCATATATAAGCGTAAATGTCAGAAAAATTATTTTGAAAAAGGTAGCACATGGTATACCCTGTTCTGTACCTGTGTTCTCTTAACAGGGTACCTTGGAGATAATTCTGTGCTGCTTTCTTCTTTTTTAAAAAAATTTAAACCTTTATTGTTGAAAGTTTTACATATGCTTCTTTCTTTCTCATGGTTGCATAGAACTCATGGTGTGGATGGAGAACACGCTTTATTTAATCAGCAAGGAATATTTTGGTTGTTTCCAGACTTTGCTTAATTATAGACAATTCTGCGATGAATATCCCCAGTCACACGCTTAGCGTTCATGTGTGAGAATGCCTTTCGGAGAATCCCAACTTGCAAGGTCATAGGGTGTGTGCGATTGTAATTTTGATGTATATGACCAGATTACCCTTCAGGGAGGCTGCACTGGTGTACCCTCACACCATACCATCTGGTTCGTCTCACTCTCACCAACACAGGTTGCTGTAGTTTTTCCCCCATGAACTTTAGTTTTTAATTTTTATTTATTTCAAAAAAGTTTTAATTGAATTTATTCGGATGACATCCTATGTAATAAAACCCTAATATGCAAATCGACCGAACGGTGGAATGACTGGTCGCTATGAACTGACCACCAGGAGGCACATGCTCAATGTGGGAGCTGCCCCCTGGTGGTCAGTGCGCTCCCACAGGGGGAGCGCCGCTCAGCCAGAAGCCGGGCTCACGGCTGGCCAGCTCAGTGGTGGTGGTGGGAGCCTCCGCGGCAGCACTAAGGAGCAGTGAGCCCAGTGGTAGGGAGCAGCAAGCAGGCAGGCAGTAAGGAGTGAGGGGTCCCAGACTGCGAGAGGGCACAGGCCGGGCTGAGGGGCCGTCCCCCCTGCCCCCCACCCAGTGCACGAATTTCATGCACCGGGCCTCTAGTTGGTTAATAAAACCATACAGGTTTCAAGTGTACAATTCTATAACACATCATCTGCCTACTGCATCGGGTATTCACCACCCAAATTTTTTTTTTTAATAGTACAGCTTTACTGAGAAATATTTCACATACCAACCAATTCACCCATTTAAAGTGTACAATTTAAAGTTTTTTAGTATATTCACAGAATTTTGCAATCATCACCACAGTCAATTTTAGAACATTACCCCAAAAAGAAACTGTGTACCCATTAGTCACTCTCCACTTCCTCTCAGACCTTCTTCCCCAGTCCCAGGCAACGACTCCTCTAGTTTCTGTTTCTATGCATTTGCCTATTTTGGACATTTCTACGAAATCATACAAGATGTTGTCTTTTGTGTCTGGCTTCTTTCACTTAGTATAATGTTTTCAAGGTCAATTCATGCTGTCGCAGTACTTCAGTCCTTTTTCTTGCCAAATAATATTCTGTCATATGGATATGTCACATTTTATTTATCCATTCATCAAGTGATGGACAAATGGGTTGTTTCCACTTCTTGGTCATTATGAATAATGCTGCTATGAACACTTGTGTACAAGTTTTTATGTAGATACTTTTTTCTTCTTAGGTATATACTTAGGAGCAGAACTCGTGACTCAGATGATAACTCTGTGTTTAACTTTTTGAGGAAATGCCAGACAGTTTTCCAAAATGGCTCCACCATTTTACATTCCTACCAGCAATGTGTGAAGTTTCCAGTTTCCCACATCCTTGCCAACAACTTGCTGTTATCTGTCTTAATTGTAGCCATCGGAGAGGGTGTGAAGTGTTATCTCATTGTGGTTTTGATTGGCATTTCTGTAATGACAATGCTATTGAGCATCTTTTCATGCAGTTACTGGCCCCTGGTATATCTTCTCTGGAGAAATGTCTATTCAAATCCTTTACCCACTTTTAAATTGGGTCCTTTGTCTTTTTGTTGTTGAGTTATGAGAATTCTTTATATATTCTGGATACAAGTTCCTTATCAGATATGTGGTCCACAAATATTTCCTCCCATTCTTTGGATTCTTTTTACTTCCTTGATGGCGTTCTTCGGCACATAAAAGTTTTTATTGTTGATGAAGTTCAGTTTAACTTCTCTTTTTTAGTTTGTGCTCTAAGGAATCAGTGTGATCCAAGGTTTGATGCCTATATGTTGTTATAAGAATTTTAAAAGTTGTACCCTGTATATTTAGCTTTGTGATCCATTTTGAGTTCATTTTTGTGTAGGGTTTGAGGAAGGAGTCCAGCCTCTTTGTTTTGCATGTGGATATTCAGTTGTTTCTACACCATTTGTTGAAAAGACTGTTCTGTCTCCGTTGAATAGTATAAGTACACTAGTCAAAAATCAATGGAGTGTAAATGTGAGGGTTTATTTCTGGACTCTAAATTCTGTCCATTGATTTGTAAATCTATCCTCATACCAGTAACACAGTGTAGATTACTGGAGCTTTGCAGCAAGTTTTGAAATTGAGAAGTGTGAACCCTCAAACTTTGTTTTTCTTATTTAAGATTTTTTTTGGCTATTTCTGGTCCCTTGGCTTTCCATGTGAATTTTAGGATCAGTGCTCACTTCGACAGCACATATACTAAAATTGGAATGATACAGAGAAGATTAGCATGGTCCCTGCGCAAGGATGACACGCAAATTCGTGAAGTGTTCCATATTAAAAAAAAAAAATTAGAATCAGTTTTTCAATTTTTGCAAAGTACCTAGCTGGAATATTGATAGGGGTTGTGTTGAATCTGTGGATCAATTTGGGGACTTTTGCCATCTTAGCAATGTTTAGTCTTCCAATCCATGAATATGGGATGTCTTTTTATTTATTTAGATCTTTAATTTCTTTCAACAATTTTTGTAGTTTTCAGAGTTTAAGTTTTGCACTTTTTTGTTAAAAAAGTATTCTTTTGATATTGTTTCCTTAATTTTATTTTTGGATTGTTCATTGCTAGTATATAGAAATACAATTTATTTTTATAGCATGATCTGATAACTTACAACCTTGCTAAACTTGTTTACTAGTTCTAATAACTTTTTTAGTGGACTCCTTAGGATTTTCCATATATAAGACCATGTCATCTGCAAATAGAGATAGTTTTATTTCTTTCTTTCCAATTAGGATGCCTTTTATGTCCTCTTTTTTCCTGGCTAGAACTCCAGTACAGTGTTGAATAGAAGTGGTGAGAGTGGACATTCTTGTCTTGTTCCAGTTCTTAGGGGAAAGCACTCAATCTTTCATCATTAAGTATGATGTAAGATATGGGTTTTTCATAGATGCCCATCATCAGGTTGAGGAAATTCCCTTCTATTTCTAGTTTGTTGAGTGTTTTTGTTATGAAAGGGTGTTGGATTTTGTCAAATACTTTTCTGAATATATATTGAGGTTATTATGTGGTTTTTGTCCTTTATTCTATTGGTATGGTGTATTACATGAATTGATTTTCAGAAGTTAAACCAACCTTGTATTCTTGGGGTCAGTTTCATTTGGTCATGATGATAATTCTCTTTATACATTGCTGGGTCCAGTTTGCTAGTATTTTATTGAATAGTTTTACATCTTATCTCCTAAGGGATAGCAGCCTATAGTTTTCTTTTCCTGTGGTATTTTTGTCTGTTTTGGGTATTAGGGTAATACTGGCTTCATAGAACCAATTGGGAAGTGTTCCCTAGTGAAGAACTGGTATTCTTTCTTTTTCTTTCCTGTGTGTGTGTGTGTGTGTGTGTGTGTGTGTTAATCCTCACCTGTGAATATTTTTTACCATTGATTTAAAAAATATATATAATTTTATTGATTTCAGACAGGAAGGGAGCTGGAGAGATAGAATCTTCAATGATGTGAGAAATCATTGATCAGCTGCCTCCTGCATGCCCCCCACTGGGGATTGAGCCCTGACCAGGAATCGAACCATGACCTCCTGGTTCATAGGTTGACGCTCAACCACCATGCCACACTGACCAGACTCCCATTGATTTTTAGAGAGAGTGGAAGGGAGGGATGGGGGCCGAGAAAGAGAGAGGAAGAGAGAGACATTGATGTGAGAGAGATACATTGATTGGTTACCTCCTGCATGTGCCCCGACCAGGGCTGGGGAAATGGACCTGCAACCGAGATATGTGCCCTTGACCAGGAATCAAACTCGTGACCCTCGCTGCTCAGGCCGACACTCTACCACTGAGCCACACCGGCCAGGGCTATTTCTTTAAATGTTCAATAGAATTTATCAGTGAAGCCATCTGGGCCCGGGTTTTTCATTGAGAGAAGTTTTAAAATGACTAATTCAATCTCTTGTTTTAATTTTACTCAGATTTTCCATTTCGTCTTAGTTTGGGTAGTTTGTGTTTTTCTAAGAATTTGTGCATTTCATCTAGGTTATTCAGTTTGTTGGCATAGCATTCTCTTATAGTCTTTATTTCTGTAAGGTTGGTAGTATTGTCCTCTCTTTCATTCCTGATTTTAGTAATTTGAATCTTCTCTCTTTTTCTCTTTGTCAGTCTAGATAAAGGTTTGTCAATTTTGTTGATCTTTTCAAAGAACCAACTTTTGGTTTTGTTGATTTTCTCTATTTTTTTCTATTTCATTAATTTTTCTGCTCTAATCTTTATTTCCTTCCTTTTACTTGCTTTAGGGTTCATTTGCTCTTTGTTTGCCAGTGTCTTAAGGTGGAAGGTTAGGTGACTGATTTTTCCTTTTTTAATACAGGCTTTTACAGCTCTAAATTTCCCTTTAAGTTCTCCTTTACTGCATCCTATACATTTTGATAAGTTGTTTCTTCATTTCCATTCATTTCAAAGTATTTTCTACTTTTTTTTTGGTGACTTCTCCTTTGATTCATTGGTTAGTGAGGAATTATTAATTTTCACATATATGTAATTTCTCGAATTTCTCTCTGTTAATGATTTCTTATTCCTTTCATTGTAGTCAGAAGCATACTTTGTATTATTTCACTCCTGAATTTATTAAGGCTTGTTTTATGGTTTAACATATAGCCTAACCTGGAGAATGTTCCATGTGCACTTGAGAAGGATGTGTAGTCTGCCGTGGCTGGGTAGCTTGTGTAATTTTCATTGCATTAATCTTATAAGTGTAGTTGAGCACCTTGTCATATGTTTAAGAGCCATTTGCTTTGCTATCTGTGGTTACTTTTCTTATTTTGTGGGAGCTCATCGTGAGTTACTAATATTCCTCCTCGTTTGTGTTCTTTTGAATTTGTTTATGATGTTTATTGAGTTATGCAGACATTTTATTTTATTAAAAAAAGACATTTCACAAAGTCTCATTTTGTAAAAAGATTTTGTTTATACACACACACACACACACACACACACACACACACACACATATATATACACATATAATTTTTAGAGAGAGAGAGAGGAAGGGAGAGGGAGAAAAACATCGATGAGCATCAATCGCTGCCTCCTGCAGCCCCCTACCGGGGATCGAGCCCACACCCCGGGCATGTGACCTGACCCAAAATAGAACTTGCAGCCTTTCAGTACCAGGGCGCTGCCCAAGCAACTGAGCCACACCAGTCAAGGCTATGCAGACATTTTAGACTTTTATGTGGATTGATTTAGCATTTGAAGGCTGATTCTTAGGTTTTGTGCCATGTTTAGAGATGCTTTTCCCATTCGGATATAAGAAAATGTATTCTCCCCTCCCCTTTTTAGAGCTTTATGGTTTTGGTTTTGTGGGATTCCGAGCTGATTGATCTGGAATTTATAGGCATATGGAATGAGATTGAGATCCAACTTTGTTTCCTGATGGCAAATCCTTAGTCCCAATTCTATCTTAAATATAGTCTATCTTTTTCTCACTGGTATGAAATGCCACTTCCATTATTTATTAAATTTCTGTATGTTTGGGGACAATTTTTGGACACTATTCTGTTCCATTTATTTGTCTATTTTTGTGCTGGTATCACACAGTGTTAAGTACTATGATTTTATAGTAATTTTTACTGTCTGGTTGGGCAATTTCCCCTCTCATTACTCTTCTTTCTAGGATTTTCCTAGCTACTCATACACATTTACTTATACACTTTAAAATTGACTTCTTTAGCTAAAAGAAAATCCTGTTGGAGTTTTATTGGTATCACATTCAATTTTTAGATTAACTTAGGAAGAATTGATATTTTTATAATGCTAGGCTTTAAAAAAATTTTATTTTCTGCCCTAGCTTGTTTTGCTCAGTGGTTAGAGCATTGGCCCACAGACTGAAGGGTTGTGAGTTTGATTCTGATCAAGGGCACGTACCTCAGTTGCAGGCTCAATCCCTGGCCCTGGTCGGCGTGTGTGGGAGGCAACCAATGGATGTGTCTCTGTTGCATTGATGTTTCTCTCTGTCTCTCCCCCTCCCTTCCACTCTCTCTAAAAATCAGTGGAAAAAATATCCTCAGGTGAGTATTAAGCAAAAAATTTTCTGATTGCTGTTGGTAGTGGAAAAAATATCCTCAGGTGAGTATTAAGCAAAAAAATTTTTTAAAAATTTTCTGATTGCTGTTGGTGTATAGATACAGTGTTGATTTTTTGATATTACCTTTTAATTTCCTACCAGTTACCTTAATTCGCTTTTTGTTTAATAGCTTTGCAGCAGATTCTTTTGGGTTTCCCAGATCTACATTGATAACATCTGAAAATGGTGATACTCATCTTCTCTTTTCTAATTCCATTTTATTTCTTCCATTTCTTTTTCTTAGCTCATTGCATTGGCAAGTGTCTTAAAGGAAGGTTGACTAGTGGACATGCTTGTCTCTCCTGGACTCTTGCCCTATGAAATAGCTTTTGTAGGCCTGGGCTCCTACTCAACTCCACCAGACAATCCTTCCAGGGCCAGACACAAGGCTTGACTCAGACTAGGAATTTTGGAAGCCTTTGCTTAATTGTAAGAGTGATTATAAAAGAGAGCAAGGGTCTGAAATGTAATGATCATAATAGCTAATACTCATTGAGCACTTCTTATGTACCAGGCACTTTAGAAGTATTATCTCATGTTTCCCCCACAACAAGCCCAGTTACCTAGGAACAATTACCTTGATTCCCATTTTTGGTAAGGGGTAAACTGAGGCCCCCTTGAGGCTGAATGGCTAGGAAGTGGCAGTCTGGCATCTGAACCTGGTATTCTGGTTACAGGCCTATATTTTTGACTCCTCCATATTGCTTCTTCCTCCCTGGAGGGTGCAGAGATATGGATGGTGAGTTGGCTGGGGGGGGGGGTGGTGTGTGCCTAGGGCAGTGGAGTTGTCAGCACAGTGCCTGGGCCATCAGAGGTGCGTCTCGATGACTCTCTTGAACCTCCAACGCCCCAGCTCTGCTGCACTCACTTGTGTGGCTTTTCTGAACCTTAGTTCCATCTATAAAGTGGGTACAGTAATAGTCCCTGCTTCGTCGTGCTATCAGGATAATTGAGTATCAACTGCTTATGAGGATCTCAGCACTCAGGCCCTGCCACCTAACTCCTGCTTCCTTTGCATTGCTCCTCTTATTGCCTGTAATGATAAAAACAACACTGTGTGCTGTTAATCAAACACTTATTCTGTGCCCTTCACATGGACTCTCTCACTTCATTCTCAGATGTTAGCTTTATTATTCCCATCCTATCCTATATAATAAAAGGGTAATATGCAAATTGTCCCCTCAACCGGGAGTTTGACCAGGGGGCAGGGCTGGCCTGCCAACTGCCCGGGGCCCCTCCCCCCAGATAAGCCCACCCCTGATCGGACCCTGTGGGCACTGATTGGGGCAGGCCAGCCAGACCCCACCTGTGCATGAATTCATGCACTGGGCCTCTAGTCTATATATATAAAAGCCTAAGTGACTGAACGACTGAACAACCAAACAACCGGCCAGTGCGCTCCCACAGTGGGAGCGCTGCTCAGCTGACTGACGGGTGTGCCAGATGCCGGGCTCATGGCTGGCAAGCGCAGCTGCGGCGGCGCGAGCCTCTCCTGCCTCAGGGGCAGTGCTACCGAGCAGCGGTAGAGGCAGGTGCAGTGGGGCTGGGATGAGTGGGAGCGGTGTGGTGCCCAGCCTGGGCTCGAACTCCTCACTGGCCTTCTGGTCCACAGCTTCGTGCACTACTACATCCCCCGAGGGATCTCAGATTGTGAGAGGGGGCAGGCCAGGGTGAGGGACCCCACCAGTGCACGAATCCATGCATCGGGCCTCTAGTTTTAAAGGTAAGGAAACTGAGAGGTGAAGTAACTTGTCCAAGAACATTTAGCTAGTAAGGCAGGATTTGAACCCAGGTCTGACTGAGTCCTTATTCTCTCAACTCCTAAGCTCCTGGCCTCCCCTCCACCCTTAGAAGGTGGTGGAGGTGATATTCTTCAGAGTCGGGAAAGAAGGAGTGGGTATGTCAGGACTGAACACCAGTTTTTTCTGGACTCTTCTGGATGTTATGAGCATTTGTGTGCCTGAAGGGGGGCACAGCTCATGCAAAAGCCAGGAGGTGAGAGCCAGTGGCTCCCTCTGTAGGGTCTGTGGGTGAGGGTGACAGCACCAACTCTGTGGACATGTCTGTGTGGTCTATAGAGATGCCTCGGTGCACTGGAGGGCCCACCCTGCTGCCCTGGCCAGGATGACGGGCCTGGCCTGAGGGAGTGGAGATAGGGTGGGAAGGGGATGCCTTTGAGAAAGATTGGAGGGAGGATGGGAAACCAGCCCTGACAGTGACATGGGGCGGGGCAGCCTCAGGGAGAGATGCCAGATCAGGTTGGAACGCGCTGAGCATGAAGTGTTGGGGGCACTGAGCCGGGCCGCATTCTGGCATCTCTCATGGGTAGTGATAGCTCAGGCCCTCTGTCCGGAGCCTGTGGTCAGGAGTGGCTCCCCAAAGGAAAGGGGCCACCTTCCTCTGGGAACCTCAGGCATCCCAGTACAGAGCCCTTACCACTTCCCCTTACTATTTCTGCCTTGGCGTGTGTAAGTGGTGGGAGAGGGGGGTGGGTGGGGGGGGGGGGGGGGGGGTTGGCCATTCTCAAATGGGCAAGTCATGGTGACTTGGTGTTTGGGCCCCGAAACAGGGTCCTGCCTGGAGAAAGGAGACTGAGGCCAAGAGGGCTGTCCCTCCCAAGCTCACAAGCATGGTGGCAGCCCTGCAGGGACTAGACACCCCCTAAAGGTGCCTGTCCTTCCTCAAGCTCACTCTGCTTTGTAAGAAGCCTGGAACTTCCAGCTTTCTCCAGGAGTGGGGCTGGACTGCCTTCCCCGCTCCTGGCCCCATCTGCCGAGGCGTCTGGCTGTTCGGTGAGAGAGGTCCCGAGGGCAGGAGGCGGGTCCCCTGAGCTCCTCCACCCTGAGCAGCCCCGGATTCCTGCCTGCCTGCTGTGTTTTCCTACCCCCACTTCTTTCCATTGTCATTCTCACCCTCATTGTGTGACCTCAGGCAAGTTCCTCAACCTCTCTGTGCCTCAGTTTCCTCATCAGTAAAATAGGGACACTGTTAGCATCTACCTTCTAGACTATCATGGGGATTCGATGCGTCAGTACTTGCCGGGGGCTTAGTTCAGGGCCCAGTACAAGGTCCAGGCTCTGGGAGGGTTTGAATATTGCAGAATGATACTTGGTCTCTGCATGAAATCGCAGGAACAAAGCAGGATGCAAACCCTGTGTCTGTGCTATTTAGTCTTTGGTCTATTCTGCAGATATTTCCAGAGCACCTTGTAGGAGCCAGGCCTCCTGGTCACCAGGGATATGGTGATGGATCTGCCCTGGTCCTGCCTGCAGGGAGCTATGGCCAGGGCACCACAAGGATCCCAGTTTACAGTCCTACAGTCATATGATGCCAGAAGGGAATGTGTGCTCCATGCACTCCCCTCACTGATTCTCCCAGGAGCCCTATGATGTGGTACCTCTGTTATACCCAATTGACAGAGGAGGAAACTGAGGCACAGGGTCCCACGCCAGGGTGGTAGGGCTTGGATTCAAACACAAGTAGTCTAATCCAGGACTCTGGCTCTTAGCCTCGACCTGCCTCCTGTCCACAAATACATATATATTTACTTGTATAATTAGAACCAACCACAAGGACCAAAAACCCCCCACAAAAGACCAAACCCCAGAAACCAGCAAACACTGTAGTCAGAGGCCCTGAGCCACCGTGGCCTGTTCTTGAAGGCTGTCTTATGCTTTTCTGAGTGCCCCAGTGGGGAGCGGTCTTCTTGGCTAGTGTAAGACTTAGGGCCAGGAGCTGTCGTTTCCTTCGCCCCCTCCCAAGAGGGCACATACATCCTCTTGGTGCTGGAAGAGCCTCCAAGGTCCAGTGCTGGCTCTCCCTCTCACTCCACAGCACATTAGCCAAGTACCCTATCTCCTGTTCTTGGTTACCTCCCATGACAGGAGGCTCACTTTTCAGCATTCAGTTCATTGTAAAGAAAGTTTGGGATCTTCGAAAGTTCTCCATTTAAAAACTTTTTAAAAATATATTTTTACAATTTTCATTTCCTCTCAAAGTGCCACAAGCAAGTGCTCTGTGAGGGCATGCAGTCTCTGAGGCAGGGCCTGGCCAGTTCGTCTCTTTGTCCTGCTGTAGTGACTGACAGCCTCCTGCACAGTTGGTGCTGTGAAGGCTGGACCAGGGAGCAAGTGGGTTGGAGGTACGGTGGTTGGGGCTCAGCCTCCATCAAGCCTGGGAATGTGGGTAATCAGGTCAGTAGGTCCCTCGGGACACCGACTATATGAGTGCTGATGGGCACCATGACCTCAATGGATTGGGTTGCCATAGAAATTGGCCATTCCTGTCCCCAGGCCCATTGGTCCCTCAGGAGGCCCTGGTGATCCTTTGGGCTGTTAAGCAGGTCTCCCTAGGGCCTCCCCAGCCCCACATTCTCTGAGCTGGATGGACCCCAGGGAGCATGCAGGCCACACCTCCATTGGGCAGCAGAGCAGGCTGAGGCCCAGAGTGTGTAGGGACCGGCTGAGGTTCACATAGGGACTGGGGTCACAGAGCTGGACTCAGCTCTCAGGGCTAACAGGCTTGCCCGAGGCCCCCACCAATTAAAGGGACTTTTCTCCATCCATAGGTTCCCAGAGGAAATTCAGGACTAATTCCAGGGCCTGCAGCATGCCCTGGAGAACAGTCGGAACCACCTGGCTGGTGTGTCCAGAGTCACACAGACCAGTGAGGGACTTTTCTCCATCCATAGGTTCCCAGAGGAAATTCTGGACTAATTCCAGGGCCGGCAGCATGCCCTGGAGAACAGTCGGAACCACTGGCTGGTGTGTCCAGAGTCACACAGATCAATCTGAGCTGATGTGCAGGCTGACCGGCTGTGTTCCCAGCACTCTGGCTTGCCTCGCTCAGTTATCACAATGGCCCACCGTTTCCAGATGAAGAAACTGGGCACAGGGAGGAGTTAAGTTGCTTACCTGAGGTCATGCAACTGATTAGGGACAGAGCCAGGATCTGAGCTGCGGAGTCTGACTTTAGAGCCCACTCTACCACCTTGCCCCACCCAGCATTGTTCTCGCTCAGGAAAGGCTTTGGGAGGCTAGAAGGAATGTTCAGGTCTGGGGAGCTCTCGGCTTTGTCTACCAGAGGCAGAGCTGATAAATCATGACCCACAAGTCAGTCATGGTGGTTTCTCTCTGATCATGCCCTCACAGCAGCCCTGAGAGTTTGCTTTATCCCTGCTTTTCAGATGAGGATGCTGAGGACCTGAGAGGGGAAGTGACTTGCTTAAGGTCACTGAGTGGGAAGAGGTGAAGCAGGGCCTGTAGTCTGCGACCCCTGACTCCACACCTGGTGTTTGCTGAGACCCCAGGCTGCTTCCCAGGTCCTCTGGGACAGCCCCTGCCTTCCACCAGGTGAGGTGATGACCCATCAGGACTGCCAAGATGAGGGAGCAGGGAGGGGTGGCCGTGATGGTGGGGAGTGGGGGCCAGCCAGGACCTGAGAATGGGGAAGTGGAAGGCAGAAGGGTGAGGCAGGGCCACGGGCGTCACTGGGGAGTTTTGACCTGCCAGATTTCTGGCTCCGAAATCTCTTTCATTCAGCTGTTTATTGAGCACCTACTGTGTGCTACACTGTGCTAGGTACTGGGAGCATAGCAGCGAACTAGACAGACTAAAGTCCATGACAATAATAATAATAATATAATCACACAAATACAAATTAAGTGATTACTGGGCCACATGTTACCAAGGAGAGGCACGAAAGTCACATTAACTTAGACCAGTGAAAGAATTTGAGGAACGTTTCCTAGGGAAGTGACTTATGAACTAAGAACTGAGGGAGGCATGAGTTACCCTGGTGAAATGGTCAGAGGAGAGCATTTAGGCAGAGGGAACAGCATGTGCAAAGGCCCTGTGGCTGGGGTGAGCTCCCAGCCATCTCTCCTTCTTTCAGCTGCCTGAGTTGATTGCAACTTTTAGCACCTTTCCCCCTGGATCAGACAATTTCAGTCAGTCATGTATTCACTCAACAAACCCTCAATGAGCCCTCTCCTATGTGCTGAGTGCCTGGGGCATAGACATGACTCAGATACTGTCCCTGCCCACGAGGGACAGAAACAGTGACTCAGGAGAATGTGGAAGAGGTTGGGGCTTCTGATGACGAGGTTTCTTCTGTGCTTGATCCTGTACCAAGAAAGCCCTTTCTGGGTGACATCATCATTCCCATTTTACAGATGAAGAAATGGGGGCTCTGAAAGGCTGACTTACCTCAAGAGGCTAGTACCCCTTGTGGGCCTCAGATTCCCCATCTGTAGAATGGGTTAGGGTGGAGGCTGTCTAAGGGGCCCAGACAGCCCTGCCTGCTCCCAGGGTCCCTCCTTCACTCCAGGGTCCTCTCTCTTCTCCAGCCAGGACCATGGGCAGCAACAAGAGCAAGCCCAAGGATGCCAGCCAGCGGCGCCGCAGCCTGGAGCCTGCTGAGAACGCCCATGGTGGCGGCGGCGGGGGTGCCTTCCCCACCTCACAGACCCCCAGCAAGCCGGCCTCCGCTGACGGCCACCGTGGCCCCAACACGGCCTTCTCCCCTGCCACCGCCGAGCCCAAGCTGTTTGGAGGCTTCAACTCCTCGGACACAGTCACCTCCCCGCAGAGGGCGGGGCCACTGGCTGGTCAGTGGACCTGGGGGCATATGTTCCAGGTTGCTTCTGCCCTTCCTGGCCAGGCCAGGCTGCTCTGCCAGGAGGGCTGTGTGTCCTGGGGCAGCAACACCCCCTCTCTGGGCTGCTGTTTCTTTTGCTCATGAAAGGGGAAGTGTCTATGGGTTACTTGGCCTTGGGGACTCCTGGGAGTTTCCTGGAGGCTGTGGGTGGGAAGTGTGGTGCACAATCCATCAGATGCAGAGCATAAAGGGGTCTAAAGATATAGGACTGTAGGGCGAAACTAAGGACCAGGGAGCCCTTTGCCCTGGTCAGCCCAGAGATGGGTCGGGATAGGTGGCTAGTGTGTGGTCAAGGGGCCAGGAGGGTTGGGAGGAAAAATCAAAGCTCCTCTTCAGAGGCCCTCCTCATGCTGAAATGCGCCCCGGCGCCCTCTGCTGGCACTTTGGGGTATAACAGCCAAGACAGGGATGCTTAGAGACAGACGTGGTCCTGAGAGACACATGACACTTGCAAGCACTTGTACTCTCACCCAACACACTCAAACGGAGCCACACACTCATGGTTACACACACCAAGTCAGCAATTCATTCAAAGAAACCATTTAAAGACATTTACATGTGCTAAGCTGGAGACTCCATCATAGACACGCACACCTCACGCATAGAACACACATGGATTGCACTCGCTAGGCACAGACACCCCCCCCAATGCAGATGTACACAAATATACACACACATACATACAAATAACCTGCTCTCAGATGAAGACACACACGTGTGGTCAAAGCCCTTCAAAGACACACACAGAACACAGACACATACTGAAGAAACGAATTTGCAGCTACCCACAGACCCATGGAGGCACAAGTGCACACACATGCAGTGAGAACACAAAAGCAAACAGAGACACATGGACACTCATGGACTCCTCAGGCACAGACACACGTCCAAGTGAGACAAACAGACCCACATGCGCACCCATTCATGTGTTCAAGAAATATTTGTGGCACCTCTACTGCGTGCTAGGATTCTTCTGGTCTGGGGACCCTGCAGTGTGTAATGCAGACATAATCCCCGTAGGGGAGAGAAACAAAGCAAGATGTGTAAACGGTGCGGCATGTTAGAAGGTGGTAACTGGTGAGAAGGACAGAAGGGGCAGGGAGGGCATTTTGGAGGATGGAGAGGTAGAGGTTGTAATTAAAATGGGGGACAGAGAGGGCCTCTTTGAGGGGACAGTTACCTGCCACCAAGCTCTCCCCAGACACATAGAAGAACCCGGAGAGAGAAATAGAGCAACCTCCCCTGGTGCAATTTCCTTCATTCACTGGTTCATTCATCCCACAGTTGTTTCTTGAGCACCTACTATGTGTCAGGCTCTGGGAACAAAACAAAGATGCCTGTTAGTAGGGGCTGCTGATTCTATGGAGAAGATAGACACCAAACAAATGCCTAGCATCACCCAGAGCCCATTGGGACACAGACAGGAAGAGATGTGTGCCTTCTGCACGCCCTCACAGGGGTGCCCGGCACATGGACACAGATCTGAATGTGACCATGACTCCGGGCTGGGCTCTGATGGCATGTGGGAGACCAGCGTCCACACCCCCGGGGTACAGGGCCCTTTTGTGCACACCTCTCCCTGTCCATGGCCCCTGCCGTTCTGATACGCAAAACCCTCTCTGCAGGTGGAGTGACCACCTTTGTGGCCCTCTACGACTATGAGTCCCGGACAGAGACTGATCTATCCTTCAAGAAAGGGGAGCGGCTGCAGATTGTCAACAACACGTGAGTGCCTCCCTTCCCTGTCGTCCTTGGACATCCCATCCCTTGGGCCCGGCTTTGGGCCAGAACCACTTCTGAGCATCCCAGGCTCAGAGGGCAGCATGTTGGGCAGCAGGCAGAGCTGAGCGCTGGGGCTGTGGAGGCCCAGGAAACCATCCTGGGGCCTGTGGGAGTGATAATGAGGCAAGTGGTGGTGGCTGGTGCTCCGGGAAGGTCCCTGGGACAGAGATCTGGGTTCAGTAACTTGTCAACAGGGCACAGTACCCCAGAACCCCAGAACCCCAGATCCCAGACTCTGCAGGGGGGCATGTGGTCACGGCAGAACTGGGCCCAGGACCCAGGACTACAAAAAGCAGGGCTTCACAGTGGAGGCCATGCCCACAGAGGTGCCCCCATTAGTGACCTAGGCACAGTGGGCCCGGGCAGCCGGATAAGTCAGGATAAGTCAGCGTGTCCCACTGTAGGGGGAGGAGCCTGCCTTGGGAGGGGCGGGGAGCCCATATTGGGCACACAGTGGGAGAAGGTCAGGACTGGGCATGTGGATGAGATGATAGTATAGGGTGTGGAGGGCAGGACTCCCTGGTAGATGTCTGGTTTACCTCCAGGGACTCCATCCTTGGAGTAGGCTATCCTAGAGCCAAACTGGCCTATGGGGGTCCGTGCCAGACGCTGGGGCCTCTGTGGGCAGGGGAGCAGGGAGGAAAGAACCAGTGAGGGGTGGATGGGGCTCCAGCCATGGGGTGGGGTCCTCCTCCTCCTGTCCCCTCCTCTTCTTTCCCTGCCTGGAGTGCAGTGGGAGTGAGGTACTGCACCTGTCATGGGGGTGCCGTGCAGCCTTAGGGCCATATGCCCAGGGAGGGGCGGTGGAGGCTTCAGGGTGGGCTTGGGATCGGTTTGCTCATGCAGGGGTGCTGACAGGGCAGGGCAGAGACTGCACCTGCTGCATTGCTGCCCTTGGCAGCGCTTGCTGTCCCCCTCCCCCTGCAGCCTGGGACCTCCCCCACCCCATTCCTGGCCCGCACTTGCTTACCCCAGCCTTCTCAGCTTCTCCTTCTCTCTGCTTCTTTCTCGCTGGCCCTTAGGAGGAAGGTGGATGTCAGGTGTGTACATACTTCATGGGCGGGCTGGGTGGGGTGCTTTGCTGGTGGGGGTGGGGCTGCTGTCTGCATGTGGCTGTGTCCCTGCCTGTGGTCTCTGGCCCCCCTTGGCTGCCCGCTTCCAGCTCCCCAGCTTGCGTCCTTACCCCCAGCCAGTTTGGCCAGGTCCCAACCTCAACCCCAGGCTGAGAGTGGGGAGAGTCCTCCCATCACCCCTGTCACTCTCCACCACCCCTCCTCCCATCCACCCTCCCAACTCACCCACTCCTCATTCTGATCCATCAGCCCATACTGAGTGCCAGCTGCATGCATGGCTCAGGGCTGGGCCCATTGAGGCCTGGGTGGAGAAGGCCTTGTCCATGCCTTCCTGGAGCCAGAGGGTAGCCAGGAGCCAGCCCCAGTCCAGGCAGAGTGGCAGGCAGAGGATGGGTCAGCCCAGGCGTTTGGGCTTCTGCTGTGTGTCCCCCTCTGGTGGTGACCACAGGGTCTGGGAGCTTCCAGGTCTTTGGAGGAAGAACAGTGAAGTCGAGTGGCAAGTGGAGGTGGTGGAAGGCAGTCCCTCACTGAGGGGCAGCTGTGGGAGGTGCCGCGCTGGAGGGAGCTGTGGAAGGGCAAGAAGGTTCCAGAGGACAGGGTAGAATTGACCCCTGAGTGTCCCCGAAGGCCTGGCTAAGGAGATTGGATATCTCCACCCTCTTCGAGTGTGTCTTGCTTGTCCATGCCTCCCTGCCCTGGTGCATGCTGTTCCTTCTGCCTGAAATGCCCTTTGTCCCATCTCTGCCTGGCAAACTCCTATTCATCCCTCAAGATCCAGCTGAAGACTGCCTTCTCTGAGGGGCAAGAGGGAAAAGAGGTGCCAGGTGCCGGGCCAGGCAGTTTAGACCCACGTCCTCAAATTTGCTCAGCTGCAGTCCCTCCAGGGCTGTAGTGATGGGGGGAGGGGATGTCTCCATTTTGCAAACGAGGAAACGGAGGCTCAGAGATGTGAAGGCCCTTGCCCACAGTCACACAGCTACCAAATAGCAAAGCCAGGGTTGGAGCCTGGGCAGCGGCTCTCTCCCTGACTCAAGGGTCTCTCCCTGGGGGAGGGGCTTTCCCAACTTTCTATCCCTTGTGTGTCCAGTTCCTAGTGTCACTCCAGTTCTCTCGGTTCCAGCTGTTTGGATCTGCCTCCCCCCAAGCTGGGAGCACCTTGAGGGCTGCTCGGGTTCGCCACGTTTCTGGGTCCCCCTGTCACCTGTTGCTCAGCACGCTGGGGGTACCCCTCCGGGCAGGTGAACCAGATGGATGAACAGTAATGAAACAGCACCGTTTCGTGTGCTTTGTGTGTGAGCCAGGTTTCTGTGCTGGGCGCTTTGAGCTGCATTGTTTTATTTATACATCACCACAGTCCTGGCAAGTGGAAACTCATATTTGCTCCATTTTACAGATGAGGAAACTGAGGCCCAGAGAGGTGAAATGACTTGCTCGAGGTCACACAGCTAGCGGTGGCAGAGCTGGGAGGGGAGGCGTGACCCAGGGCCCTTGCTGGGGAGGTGCAGAGGAGCCAGGAGGAGGGAAAGGAGGTACAGGGCGGGATGCAAGGGTTAGAGGCTTTGAAGAACTGGGGGGCATCTCAACCAGCAACAGTGGGAAGGGCTTCTCGGGCTGGGGTCACAGCTTGAGCAAAGGTGTGGCGGGAGGAGAGGCTCTGGAAACGGATTCTGCATCTTTCACCCAGAGAGCAGCCCTCGCTCCTTCTTTGTCCACCTCTTCCCTTCCTTTTTCCTGCCTTCCGGGTTGGGTTGGGGGGGGAGGGTGTTTGGCCAGCCCTGAGGCTGTCAGGAGGGCTGGCAGTGTTGGAGCCCGGTCCATGGGAAGCCCTCGGTGGCACTAAGGTGCCCTGATTGGAGGGTGGGGGTGAATCGAGAGTCCCTCCGCATGCACAATGCTCAGCCGCTCCTTCGCCTGGGAAGTCTGGTGGTGGCAGAGTTCAGGGCTGGCATTAGAGGAAGAGGAGAGATAAAGGGATCCGAGTTGGGGGCTTATCGGAAGGTGGGGTGTTCAGGTCTCATACCCCACCCAGGGACCACCCTACATGTCCTTCCATTGTTATTGCTTAGGGTGCATTATTGTTTAATCTCCCTGCCCCCTGCCCCCTGCCCTAAACCCCCACCTCCTCTTATGAGTGAGGAACTTTCTGAATATAACCTGTGGTTGGGCTGTGGGGGGCGATGGAGAGCTTGGAGGAGCACATTTGTGGCTGGGGTTTGGCCAGGGCTGGCTGGGCCGGGGCTTCGCAGCAGGCCTGGAGCTCCTCTTCCCCAGATCCTCATGCCCTGTGCCCTGAGCCCGAGAATCCTGGGCCCTCTGTGGCCCTGGATCTGAGGAAGCCCACTGGGGTCTCAGGTCTGACTGTCGCAAGCCCAGCCCTGGTGTCTGAGTCTCCAGGAGTCAGGGCCCCTGTGGGTTGCTCCCTGAACTGCCCCTTTCTCCCGCCCACATTCTAGCAGCTTCTTGGGGGAGCACTAACCTTGGAAACCTTGCCCTGGGTGCTCCCCACCGTGGGGCAAGGGACACCTTCCTGTCCTCCTTACTCGACCTGCCCTGGCCTCACCCTGCCCTCTCCCATGGGCCATGCCCAGGCCTCAGGACACTTGCCTGCTTAGGCCTCTTTGACCAGTATGTGAGCACCCAAATGGGCATAACTTAGGTTCCAAAGCTGCCACAATCCTGACCCACATACCAACCCGGGCAGCACAAAGATTAGGGCCCAAAAAGAGGGTCCTGAGGCTCAGACAGGTGTGGCCAGTAGCCCGAGGTCACACAGCTGGTGAACAGCAGTTGGGATATAAAAGGGTAGGTAGCTCAGGGTAGCTCATTGCTTTCTCTTCTGGCCACAGGTGGGAAGGTGAGGGGTCAGGCGGGGACTGTCTTTTTATTTTTTTATTTTTTATCATTATTGTTGAAAGTATTACATAGGTCCTCCTCTTTCCCCCATAAACCTCTTCCAGCCGCTGCCGTCCTCCCCTGCACCCAGGCCCTCACCACCCCATCGTCTGTGTCCACGGGGAATGTCTTATTCCCTTCCCTCTTTTCCTTTTTCCTACCCACTGGGTAAGGACTAGGCCCCAGGGAAGGTGCCGGATTCGGCGAATCTGCTCAGCCTGACAGACTAATTCACCATTGCCTCTGAGCTGGGCTTGCGCTGGTGTCCCTGTGGCGCTGGACTGGCCTGGGAAGCTGTGTGGCACTCCTGTGGGAGCAGCCTCAGGCCCTTGGCACCCGGTGGCAGGTTTGAGTCTCCCAGGCCAGTGGTCGCCGGCCGGTGGTCTGCGGACCGCTGGTGGTCCGTGAGGTCTGAAAGGTCGGCGACGCTGTCCCAGACTATAGACTTGGGAAGATGGGGCTTGATGGCTCCCTTTCACAGGTGGGTAAACTGAGGCGCAGATGATACAGAATTAGCTGACTGAAGCTGAAACTGGCTTGGTGCTGATTGATTTACATACTTTGCAGCAAGGATGATTCTGTGAGGAAGGAAATAAAAAGTATTATTTATAGTATCTTCTTTATAGATGAGGAAACTAAGACCCAGAGAGGGCAGGGTACTTGCCCAAGGTCACACAGCAAATCCTTATTGGAGATGGACTGAGCTGCTTTGGCTTTAGTTTAAAAAAAACATTTTGAGAGTGGGGAGAGGGGCACCATTGAGATATGAATTCAATTTTTTTAAGCCAAATTGAGATATTAACCATTCATGCACATTGAGCACCCCTCGGAGGGATGCATGAGTATCCCCATCCTACAGATGAGGAAACTGAGGCAGGGCCAAGGTCACACAGCCTGTGACTAACTTTGGTGCTCAAGCTCCCTGACGCCTCTCAAGCTGGGGCCAGGCTCAAGTCGGACCCTTTAGTGAGATTGCAAACAACCATCCTCCCTGCCCTTGTGAACTAAAACTCAGAAACTGGCCTAGGAGCCCAAACTCACATATGGGCTGATGTCAGGGAGCTAGAGGCTCTGGTGGCCAAAGTCTGGATGATGTCAGCAGAACTGAACCCTCATTGCTTCTGGGGTCTCTATGTGGCTAGCCTCTGGGCACATGTTCCACCGACCTTCCCCTCTGAGTTGGTGGCGGGTCAGCTTTCAGACCCTGGTTTGTCAATCTGCCTCGTTTGGTAGCCTGTGACCTAGACCTCAGCCCAGTCCCCGCCCTCCAGTCCTGCTGCTTCCTCTTTCATCCTCCCCTGGCTTCCCCGAGGCTTTCCTGAGAGCCTGGGGAGACTGCAGGTGCCCGGAGGCCTGCTGTGTGTCTGGCTGCGGGCACTCAGGGGCCCTGGTCCTCCCTCTTGCTCTGATTTGCGACATGGCTTTGGGCACATCACTGCCCCTCTCTGTGCCTTATGTTCCCCATTGGTGAAAGGCAGCTTTGGGCTGGAAGATCTCAGCTGTTCCCTGTGACTTGAGTCCTGGCTTTGTAGCTTTGGGCAAGTCTCAGCCCCTCTCTGTGCCTCAAGTTCCCCAACTCTACAAAGGAAGTGCTGGGCTGCTCCAGCCTGGGTGCTGCGTGTCCTAATTTGGGGGCTGAGGCCTGCCTTCCTCCCGCTCAGGGTGGCCTTGAGGGTCAAATGGGACAGACAAGTGTAGACACCCCCGAGTGGGTGCACATCAGGAGGTGGATGGAGGCCCTGGGAATCCAAAGGCTTCTTTCCTTGAGGAGGGCCTTGCCCCCTTACTCGGGGGCCCTCCCTCTTCTGCAGAAACTCCCACATGAACTGTGTCCCTGCCTGAGTGCGCGGCAGCGATGGCACAGCCAAGTCCGCCTGCACAGCCCGGATCATGCTGCTCTCACCTCCGTCCAGCCAGAAGGGACCCTACCCCTCTGGTTCAGCGCCCCCTCCCATGGCTAAGCCCTGGTCCGACTGCTCACCTATACTTTCCCAGGTCCTTGGAGAGCATCCCTAGCCCCGTACTCTCCTGGCCTCAACTTCTCCATCTTCAAAATGGGCTGAAGAATGTGGGTCAGGGGAAGCTCAGAAAAACCAGGATCCAGGGATTCGGGTTCAAGTCCAGACTGTGTGACTGTTGGCAAGGGTCTTTCTCCCTCTGGGCCCTGGCGATGGGGAGGGGAGTGCATCCCGCTAGCTGTCTATCTTCTCAGGGTCCAGAGGCCCAGAGGCGTCCTGGGATGGAGATGCTCAGCAAGCTGTGAAGCCCCTGTAGGGAGAATGCCTTCTTATTGGCAGTTGGAGCCTGGGCCTGGCTGTGTGACCTTGAGCAGAGGCCTTTGCTTCTCTGGCCTCAGTCTTCCCATCCACCCAGTGGGAATGGGAGGGAGCTGGACCCCATTTCCCAGGCAGCCCTTCCCATCACCCCCCACATTCCTCATGGACATCTCCCTAGCCTCTCTGGTTGCTTTGGATGCGAGGCCTCTGTGGCTGCCCCCTTGTCGCCCATCCCCAGCACCGCCTGGCTGTCCTGCTCTTTCCCTCGCTCTTTCTGCCTCTCCCTCTTACCACCCCCATCTCTGCCTCTTCTTTCCCGTTGGGCTCTCGCTTTCTCCTCTCTCCTCTGTGTCTCTGGACCCCCGCTCCAGCCAGACCTGGTTCACATTCAGATGGCTGCAAAGGTACTTCGCCCCCTCCCTCCTCCCACCCAGGCCCAGGGGACCCAGCCCTGTGGGGAGCTCCTCCTGCCCCATCCCCATCTCCTCTTCCTCCTTGTGGGCCATTAATATAGAAGTGTCCTGGGCATTGGGGCTCTGCCACCTTAGCCCCCTCTGACATGACTCGCTGTGTGATTTTGGGCAAGTCCCAGCCCTTCTGGCCTCAGTTTTCCCCATGATGGGCAGGCTGCAAGAGGAGGCCTGTAGTTTTCAGTCAAGGAGCCCTTTAGGTGTGACCTGTGATTTGTGACATAGGCAGGCATTGCTCTAGTTTGCAGCGTTGGCACTTGGATTGTCATCAGTCCCCAAAAGGGCCACCCTCTGCCTCCACCCAGGTCTCACCAGCTCCCAGGATTGGGCTTCTCAGGGCTTGGGGAGACTTTGAAGGTCTGATTTGACATCCGTCTCCGACAGGAACTTGCTGTTGTAACTTGCTTGCTCCCAAAGACAAGGAGCTCCTATCTCACTCCCAGGCAGCTCTTGGCATCTTGAACAGCTTGGTCTATCTGAAGGGAAGCAAGAGTCCTTCCCATTCCAGGACTCTGCCCTGTGAATTCAGGCTTCAGGCTGACCAAGGTCAGTCCTGCCATAGTCCTGGACAAAGCCTGTCTGAGTCAGCTTTGGCCGAGGCATGTGGGCCAGCGTGGCCGGGCAGGCTGCGAGGGGCCTGGTCCCACCGTTCCCTGTGCTCCACTGGCCTCCAGGGCTCCCAGCACAGCACCCCTGAAAATTGCAGGCCGACCCACCACTGATGATTCCCTTCTCCTTTGTTCCCTCCTGCTCCCCAACTCAGAGAGGGAGACTGGTGGCTGGCCCACTCGCTCAGCACGGGACAGACGGGCTACATCCCCAGCAACTACGTGGCACCCTCCGACTCAATCCAGGCTGAGGAGTGAGTATGAACTCTGGACTCCTGCTTGCTCACCGTCGCTTCTCTCCTGGGCTGGGGTGGGAGTCTGGCTGCCTAGGGCCCAGCCACATCCCAGGCCAGAGGCACTGTAGATGGGCAGAAGCCTGGATCACCAGTATTATCCTCCTCCCTCCTGCCCCAGGTGGTACTTTGGCAAGATCACAAGACGGGAGTCAGAGCGGTTACTGCTCAATGCAGAGAACCCGAGAGGGACCTTCCTAGTGCGAGAAAGCGAGACCACGAAAGGTAGGAGCCAGTGGGAACTGAATCTTCTGGTGGGTTGTTTGAGCGGGGTGTTGCAGAATGAATAGGAGTTTGGTGTATGCCGTGAAGTGGGAAGAACCCTCAGGGTGGAGGAAATGACAAGGTCAAAGGCAGAGAGGTACATTGAGGAACACTGAGTTATCTTGGGTGGCCAGAGGTACAGTAAAAGAGGACACTTAGCCTGAGATGAGGAATGGATACAGATTGTCAGGAGGACTAGGGGTCACACAGTGAAAGGCTTGTTCCCAGGGTGGGTGTTGCTACAATGGGTCCCTCTCCTTCCCCTTCTTCAGGGGCCTCTGGGGCTGGACTGGGTCCTGGGACCTGGCTTTACCGTTCCCCCATCAGTCCTGGCCCCTGTTCTTCTGTCCCTTCCCCCCAGCAAGAGAATGCATATGTATCACCGCTTTCTCTCCAGCCCCTCTGCAAGTGGGTTGCAGGCACCCCATCACCATGGCAACGAAGCTGGGCCACTTCCTGTGGGCCTGGGACACAGCAGGAGTTGGGAAAGCAGATCATCCATGTCACGCATGTGCACGGTTCTGTGGCCATGCACGCCATGTGTGGGTCTAGGCATGTGTGTGCACATGGGGGTGGAGTTGTGTGTGTATTGTTGCATGGGAGTGAATTGTGGGTTTGTCCATGCCTGTGGGCCTGGGGAGTGTGTACCTTGTGAGCATGCAGCCCCCGGGCACAGGCACACCTGTGTGTGTGCGCATGGTCGGGGCCGGCTTCAGGCGCAGGCTGAGGCTTCCATGTGCACAGGGCCGGGGTCACCTGCAGTAAGTCATGGCTGCCCCACGCAGGCGTTAGAGACCCAGGTACAGTTCAAGTCAGCTCGGTGCCTGACTTGCTGTGTGACCTGAAGCCTAGCTGCTTCCCTCTCTGGGCCTCATTTTCCCTTCTCTACACAGATTTTAGCCTCTAGCTGAGGACTGTCCAGAGGGTCCGTGGCCTATGGGGGCTGGGCTTCTAGCAAAGTGCCTGTACGCTGCCTCCCAAGAAGGGCTTTCTGTGGCCACTAGAGCTTCTGCACCCACTGCCCCACCTCTGGGCTCAGCCTTGGTCCCTGTTGCCACCTTGTTCCCTTGAGGCCACTGTCTCTTGGGCTCAGGTTAACAGAGGCTCCTAGCCAGGCCTGCTGGGCAGGAGGGAGCTATTCCACCCAAAGCTGTTCCAGGCTCAAGGAAAGCAGGGAGGGGGCCATTGTGGCTGGCCCAGCTGAGCCTTAGCAGCCTTCAGGTCATGCCCAGCACATGGGCTCCTGCCTTGTCTGCCTCAGCCTCAGCCAGTCACCGGCTCCTGCCTGAGCCTGGAGCCTTCATGAAGTGATGGGGCACAGAGAATGCTGCCAAGGCAGACCCAGAGAGGGGCAGCAGTTAATCGGGGTACACACAGCCACGTGGGGCCACTTCTACGCTCCCATCAAGCATTTATTGAGCACCTGTTATATGTAGTCTTATTGAATCTTCCCAGCAGCCCTGGGAGTAGCCCCATTGTGCAGAGGAGGAAACTGAGGCAGGGAGAGGGCAAGCGACTTGTTCAGGTCACACAGTTCGGACACTCACTCAGGCTTCAGAAGTCTTGCCAGGGTCAAGGGTGCATGGCAAAGCTTTCCAGCCAGGTGCTCCCTTGCTGACTTGGCCCTGTCTCAGTGGCTGCCCCAGAGCTGGGTTGAACCAGACCCTGGCTCTGCCTGGGCCGGGGCTGCCGACTTGGCATCCCTCTCCCCTCCTGTGTTGGACAGGCACAGAACTGTGCGTAGGGCCGTGGCCTGTGGGGGTGGCAGGCCTGGTGATCACGGCTCCTCGCTGGCCCTTCCCTGCAGGTGCCTACTGCCTCTCAGTGTCCGACTTCGACAACGCCAAGGGCCTCAACGTGAAGCACTACAAGATCCGCAAGCTGGACAGCGGCGGCTTCTACATCACCTCTCGCACCCAGTTCAACAGTCTGCAGCAGCTCGTAGCCTACTACTCCAGTGAGTGCCACCCCCCAGCCCGGGGTGCAGGCCTCCAGGGGGTGGGCAGCTGGGCCAGGGGAGAGCCTGGCTGGGGCTAGGCTCTCTAAGGGCCTCAGCTGCAGACCCTGAGGAGGGGGCTTTGGGGCCAACAAGGGCTGGGGCTTCTGTTATGCTGAGGATATGTGGCTCCTGCCTTCCTCCCCCCTTCTTTCCCCTGCCCCCTCTTCCTTCCCCTCCTCCCTCCCCATCTTTTCCCTCTTCTTTCCTCCCTGTGCTCTCTTCCTTATCTCCTCTCCCCTCTCTCCCCCCATACCCCTCCCTCCTTTTTCTCCTCCTCTGCAGCTGGCTGGTGAAGAGGGGGCTGCCTGGAGGAGTGAGCAGGGAAGGGAGGGGCACAGGCGGTGTCGATTGTCTCTGCAGCCCTAGCACCGGTCTGAACTGGTTTCTGGAAGAGGAGGAGGGGGCTGCCACATTGATTGCTGCTGAGAGAGGGAGGATGCAGGGGGAGCGAGAGTTCGTGGTGCTCACAGGCACAGCCCCTGGGTATACAGAGCAGCTGTTGCATCTGGATGTTGAGGCTGTCGGGTGGACTGAAGAGTCACGGGCCTGTGTGCACCCTGTGGCGGGCCTGTGGGAGCCTGTGTGCTTGTGGTGTGCAGCTCTGGCCTCCGTGTGCCGTGTGCTGAGAGTGCCTGCTACTTTCCAGCCCACACGTCCTCCTCCTCCTCTTCTGTCAACCCGCCTCCTGACTCCTCTAGGATCTGCCCCTTCTGTCAGTCCCTCGGCCACCACTACTGTTCATGCTGAATCCTGTTCCCCCAGATCAGAACCCTCCAGGGGCGCTCTTGCAGTCTTAGGATAAGGACCCCAGTGTGGTCTCTGAGGCCTTGAGTCGTCTGAACCTGGGTCTGCCCTTCCTCCATTCACTTCCCCACAGCCCCCCAGCCTCCTTCCAGCTCCTCCACCCCAGCGGCTGTCCCTCCCTAAGGGCCTTTACACAGGCACCGAGGCACTGTGCCTTCTGCTTAGAGTGCTCTTCCCCGGTTAACCACTCACCCTCCTGCAGACTCAAGCCCAAGTGCCACTTCCTCTGGGAAGCCTTCCAGGACTCTATCCACCCCACCTGCTGTTGCATGCACATCACACATGTGGTTCTGGGAGTTTATTAAGGAAAGTTGGGCTCCCCTTGGACTGTGAGCTCCCAGAGGCCAAGGTTCCACTGGACTTGTCCTCCAGTGAGTCCCTGGTATCCACCTGGCTGGCCACGCCTTAAAGTGTGATTAATGAATGGATGGACGACTCGGGGAGCAGATGCATGGGGCAGTGTGAGCCTGTGTAGGGTGAGGGTGTGTACACACAGGTGTGGGGGGGAGCAGATGCATGGGGCAGTGTGAGCCTGTGTGGGTGAGGGTGTGTACACACAGGTGTGGATGCTTGGCCTCAAGGGCATCCTGTGTGTCCCCGAAGCCTGTGTGCATACAGCGTGTAGGTCTGTACACATGGTGGGACGGAGAGGCCCCAGGGTGGACACCAGGCCTGAACTCCATCTTCCCTGTCTCCGTCTTCAGAACATGCTGATGGCCTGTGCCACCGACTCACCACTGTGTGCCCCACGTCCAAGCCACAGACTCAGGGCCTGGCCAAGGACGCTTGGGAGATCCCCCGGGAGTCACTGCGGCTGGAGGTCAAGCTGGGCCAGGGCTGCTTTGGAGAGGTGTGGATGGGTGAGTCCTTGCCCCTACCCCTCCAAGGAGAACACAGTCCCCTTGGGGGACTTTGGTGTCCCCACCTGAGAGCCAGGCAGATGTCCATCTGTCTGGCAGCTCAAAACCCTCTTATCCCCTCCCCTTTACCTCCTAGAGTCTCACTTGCCTCTGTTGAACAGTGGGCCCTGTTTTAATGCGAAGCTCCCCCAGTGGTGGCTGGCACCAAGATGGGAAGTAGCCTCTTCATGCCTCTGCAGAGGGCTGGGCATTGGGCCAGGTGGCTTCACTCTGAGCCTCAATCTTCCCAACTGTAAAATGGGGCTGGTGACAGTAGGACCCACCGTGGGGCTGTGTGAGCGTGCATCCACAGGTTAGCTCTCAGCCCTGGGAAGAGAAGCCTCGGCGCGCAGAGGGAGTGCCGGGAAGCACAGGCCTGGCGTGTTCTGGGCCTGTTAACAATCTCCTGTCTCACCCTGGAGAAACTGCAAAGCCGTCCTTGAGAACAAACACTCTGCGGCCCTGACAGAACTCAGGTCCCCTGCCACGGCCTGGTTTCTGCTGACACAGAGGGGTCGTGGAAGTTGGGGTGAGGTAGGCATGACCCTTGTAAGCCTGTGGCTGCAGCGAAGGGACACAGTGGCCCATCTTCAAGGTGTTCCTCTGAGCCACTCTGTTCACTTGGCATTGCTGTCTTCATTGTTCTCCCTTCAGGGGAAGAGATGATGGAGAGGAGCAGAGAAGGTTCCTGGGTGGGAGGCACTGCAGGGACAAAGGCCTGGAGGCTGGAGCTCGGGCCAAGTCAGCAAAAGAGAGGTGCTGGCTTTGAGCTAGAGAGAGGGGAGAGGATAAGAAGCCAGCTCCCACGCACATGTGCAAAATGAGGATGGGAGCGAACGCTGGATAAGTCCACGCATCCGCTGTCCTGGTGGCTGCCAGACTCATACCTGGGTTGGTTGTGCAGTAATCAGTGGGGGAAGTTCTTACTTCTTCCCTGTTGCTCCCGGCCCCGGCCCCGGCCCCGGGCCCGGCCCCATTCACTTGCTAGCACCTGAGGCACCTTCTTTGTGCTGCTGAGAGGAAACATGATCACCCAGGAATGAGTAGTTGCATTGGAACTGTGGTCTCCCATCTCAGGTGAATGTGCTGCCTTTTGGGACATTCCTAATAACCAGAGTCCTAACAACAGCTACTATTTCTGGAGCATGTACCTCCATGGATGACTCAGGGAGCAGATGCATGGGGCAGTGTGAGCCTGTGTGGGGTGAGGGTGTATACACACATTTAGTCTCTGTAATCGTCCTGGGAGGAGCATCTGTTCTTGTGCACATTTTACAGGCGGGAGCTCTGAGGCTCAGAATGGCCAGGGAGGCCAGAGCTGAAATTGGTACCTGGGCAGATCCTGGGTCCCTATGGGTGGGAATGGGGGGCTTCCACTGAGGCAGCCTGCATCCCTCCCCACACAGGGACCTGGAACGGCACCACCAGGGTGGCTATCAAAACCCTGAAGCCAGGCACGATGTCTCCAGAGGCCTTCCTGCAGGAGGCCCAGGTCATGAAGAAACTGAGGCACGAGAAGCTGGTGCAGCTGTACGCCGTGGTGTCTGAGGAGCCCATCTACATCGTCACGGAGTACATGAGCAAGGGTGAGGCCTGGTGACGGGCACCGAGATGTGGGCAGCCCCTGGCCAGGTTATCTCTGAATGAGGGTGCTCCCCAAACAGCAGGTGGGGAGTGCTTTACTGCCCCCCAGATCTAGAGTGTACCTCTTTAAAGGTGGAATGGAATAGAGCACAACTTCTCATGTTGATGGAAAGTTAAAACAAAGATTGCCTTTCTCGTCTCATTTTGTTTAACAGTCTCCCACAATGCATCTGGTCTACCTCAGTTTGCTGGTTTTCTAAAGCCATTTGCCATTTTGGGGCAGAAAGAGATCTTCTCCTAACCATCCAAACTGAGCCACATTAAGTCCCTGGCTTTATCTTTACTGAATTTTAAAATTAATGAATTAATTTTTAAAATTCTACTTTTTACAGGCATAATTTACATATTATAAAATTTACCCATTATAGATTATAAAATACATCCAGTTCAATGAGTTCCAATGGATGGATGCGCTCTGTATCCCTTACCACATCTGGATAGAGAAGATCTGTCACTCCAGACAGTTCCCTTGCCCCCTCTCCAGCCCCAAACTCGGGCAACCACATGCCTCCTGTCATCCTGGATTTGTTTCTTCTAGGGCTTCATTTATGTGATCTTTCACATCCGAGGGTCTTCCTTATTGTGTGTTATCCGTACTTTGTTCCTTTTTTACTGCTGAGTAGGATTCCATCAATGGATGGACCATAGTTTCTGTTTACCTGGAGGTGAACATGGGGGTTGTTTCTCATCCTGCTTGCCTTTGAATGACAAACGTTGAGTGAGACTTTATCGGAGATGGGTTTACATGAAATCTGCAGTGCTGGTTAAAGCGTGGCCAGCCCTTCCCATTTGGACAGGACCTGGGAATCACTGCTTCCTGGCGCAGGGAGGGCAGGGCAGGGGCTAGAGCTGCCTTCTCTCCGCCCAGGGAGTTTGCTGGACTTTCTCAAGGGGGAGACGGGCAAGTATCTGCGGCTGCCCCAGCTGGTGGACATGGCTGCTCAGGTGAGTCAGCCCCTCTTGCACCCTTGGCTTCACACACTCAGGCCCACCTGGCGCAGCCAGCTCTAGCCTCCGGGAAGCTTGCTTTGGCTGCCTTCGCACTCGCTGATCGCACCTCGTGTGTTACTGGGAGCACTCACAGTGCTGCGGGTGGTGGTTCTGGGCAGAGGAAAGAGCCCTTCCTGTGCAGCGAGTCCCTGACTTGCTGTGGGACGTTGGGCCTCAGTTTTCTTCTCTGTGAAGGTAATTCACTCACTTAACGAACATGTATTCACAAACATGTACTTGTTTGCTGAACAACCTTTTTTCACTTAATCCTTATCACAACCAGGGGAGGCGGGGATGGCTGTTTGCTCCATTTGATGGATAAGAAAACTGAGGCTTGGAAAGGGGACTCGGGACTGCAGGCAGGAGCTGACCCTGCTCTGTGTCTCTGGGGCATCTGGGGCCTCTTTTATGGTCACCCACTTCCCTGGGTGCCTCTTGTCTTGTGCTGCCCCTTTGCCCTTTGTCCCGCGTTCCCTCCTTCTGCTGAGCGCTGGTCCTGCTTTTCGTGCAACAGCGTTTATTATGACCTACTTCTCTGGCCTGAAGAAGGGGATGGGCAGGGTGTTTGGTTGGCTCTCTATCCTCGGGATGACCCCAGCCCTGGGCTCATGCCTGTGACCTGAGAAGGGCTTGGGGTGGCCCCTGAGCCAGGCTCCTGGGTTTTGCCTGCAGATCGCCTCAGGCATGGCGTACGTGGAGCGGATGAACTATGTCCACCGGGATCTCCGTGCTGCCAACATCCTGGTTGGAGAGAATCTCGTGTGCAAAGTGGCCGACTTTGGCCTGGCTCGGCTGATCGAAGACAACGAGTACACGGCCCGGCAAGGTGGGCAGGGTCTGGGCGGGTACCAGGTGCCTTGGGAAGTCCTGCCCCTTCTCTGAGCCTCAGTTTCCTCATCTGTCATGTGGGGCTGGGAATGACGCCTATATGACCTTTCTTGCTCCTGCAGGTGCCAAATTCCCCATTAAGTGGACAGCTCCAGAAGCTGCCCTCTACGGCCGGTTCACCATCAAGTCAGACGTGTGGTCCTTTGGGATCCTGCTGACAGAGCTCACGACAAAGGGCCGGGTGCCCTACCCTGGTAAGAGGGCTCCCGCAGCCCGTCTTTAGTCCCTGAACCCCTCTGCCCTGGTGACCTTGGACAAGCCAGACCCCCTCCCAGGCCTCGGTTTCCCCATCTGTATAAGAAAGAAGTTGAACATCTGATCTTAGGCTCTCTCTCTGGTCAGGGCTTCCAGCCTTGGGGAGGGGCTTATGCTTACACCTACCCTGTTCTGATATCCCCATCAGCTTCCCCCCACCCCACTTTCCTCCCAGAGCCTCCTCACTCCTCCCTCTGCCCACAGGAATGGTAAACCGTGAGGTGCTGGACCAGGTGGAGCGAGGCTACCGGATGCCCTGCCCACCTGAGTGTCCCGAGTCCCTGCACGACCTCATGTGCCAGTGCTGGCGGAAGGAGCCCGAGGAACGGCCCACCTTCGAGTACCTGCAGGCCTTCCTGGAGGACTATTTCACGTCCACTGAGCCCCAATACCAGCCTGGAGAGAACCTATAGGGGGCAGCTACAGGGCCAGACTGGCTGCTCGGCGTGGATCGGGCTGGGTGGCCCCCAGTGTGGGGTCCTGCCTCGCTCTTCCTGCCCGCTGTTGCTCCTCTGTGGGGCTGAGTTGTCAGTGATTAGGCCTCTCCCTCTTTTGTGGCATGGAAGGGCTTGGGGCCTGGAGCAGCCCTGAGGGCGGGGTCCAAGGCTGGCACAGTGACTGTGCCTGGCTCCTGCTCCCGCCACACACCTCCTCCTTGTACACCTCCTGGAGCTCCGTGAATTGCAGCAGGAGGATGTGGGGAAAAGGGCTGGAGCTGAGGGCTCCCTTTCCCAGCCTCAGCCTCCTCTACACATTGGCTCCTTCCCTCTTCCACGCCATGCAGGGCTGTCTCCAGAGCTGGCCAAAGAGCCTTTCCAAAGAAAAGTGATAGGCCCTTGGCCGTCAGCCTGCCTGATTCCCTGCCCCTTGCCGTCCATTTCTGAAACACCTGTTCGTGGAGGCCGCTGGGTCCAGACCCCTCTGCTGTGGCTCCCGGGCAGAGCAGCCTGACGCCTAGACTGACTTGATGATGGTGGGTGGGGTGGGCTCCCCCCAAACCCTGCCCTTCTTAGACCCGAGGGTCCCTTAGAGATCATCAATTCCTTGTCCCTTACTACCCATGGGGAAACAGCCCAGAGAGAGGTTGTGACTTACCCAAGTCCACAGAGCAGTTCAGAGTTGAGGTGGGATCAGAACCCGGTGCTCCCTCTGTCTTCCTCAGGAACCAAGATTGTCCTCAGCGGCATCATGGACAGACTGTGGCAGCCCAAGGGACAAGGGGCCTGAGGGTGGGTTAGAGACAGCAGAGAGTTCTGCTGCTATTTCCTGTTCAGCGGGGCTGTTGGAGGAGAGAGTGGAGGTGGGTGTGGGGCTGAGCTGGGAATGAAGGGTGAAGGTGCAGGTGTAGGGAGGCAGACTTCAGTCAGAATGTGGGTGGATTTTGACCTTCAGGCTTAGCCAGTCATGAAAGGGAGTGAGCTCCCAGGCTCTGGGGGCAATCAAGCAGAAATAGAAGATCCAAGTGGTTGGGAAACTTGCCCTGGCCTTAGGAGGGGGCCCCAGGTTGTCTGCCCAGTTTGTCCTGTGTCATTTCAATGCCTGGCCCCTGCTCTCCTCTCCACGTTGGCACCCTAAACTCATGAGTAGGGAAAGGAGTGCCTAGGCTGGGGTGGGAGAGGATGAGGGTTCCACTGTCAGGGATCAGGACTGGCTGTGAGACCTTGGGTGGACCTGACTTCTCTGGGCTGCAGCGTCTGCCTCCTTGTGTGGCCATGGCCTCTGCAACTGCTCCCCTCCTGTCCTGTCCAGACCTGTGACCTGGTATCACACAGTGAGCGCAGCCCGGGCGTCAGGAGACTGTTTTGGCCCTCGCTCTGCTGTTCAGCCTTAGGGTATGTGGTGGCTTCTCCCTGGCCCCAGTGTGCTCCTCCTAAAAGGGGAAGCTGACAGTTTGTGGGCACCTTGGTAAGGGCCTCTGTGTGTGTATGTGTGTGTGTGCACGTGTGTGTTCCTCCATGTGTGTCCATATTTAACATGTAAAAATGCCCCTTACTCTGTCGCCCAGACACATTGTACATTTCACCCACAGCCCCCCGCTCATAGCAATAACATTCCTGCTGCCGGGGATTCTTGAGCCAGCCAGGCCCTGCCAGCGGAGAAGGAGGCCAAGGGGTGCCTGCCTATGAAATTTCAACTTTTCCTTTCATACATGTTTATTACCCAAGTCTTCTCCTGTCTGTCCCAGTCCCAAATCTGGACTCACCTACACGAGCGTGCTCTCAAATCCCCTTCTAACTGCCCAAGGCCCTTTGTATAAGGTGTCCTAATACTGTCCTTTTTTTAAAACAAACAAACAGTGTTTTGTAGATTTCAGATGACTATGCAGAGGCCTAGCAGACCCCCGGTTCTGGGCAGGACCTGGGGGTCCCACATTCCATGGCCCAGGCTCGGGGGGTGGGGGAATCCAGAATTGGTTGTAAATACTTTGTATATTGTCTGATTAAACACAAACAGACCTCAGAGTTCAGCTAGTGGTTTATTGAGCCTCTGCTGTGTGCCGGAGGGTGAGGGGTGGGGGTGAGGCCAGACTGTGGTCAGAGGGCCTTTGTGCGGGCGCTGGGCCTGGGCGTGACATGATCAGATTGGAGTCAACAGTTACCATGGAATGTGACCATGTATGCACACCTGGACCTGCATCTGTGGAGTGAGCACATTTGGTGGAAGCCTTGCTTGTGTCTGAGCTGCACAGATGAAACCCAAGACTCCCACAGTATCTGCAGTTCAGAACTCTGATGCCGGGTGGATGGTGGTGGCCGACACTCTGGGGCTGGGAGGGCTGTCAGGCCCGCATGGAGTTGTGGATGTGCTTCTGGGGAGATGTGGCTGTGCGGGTGCTATTTGCGTTTCCCAGAGTGCGGGGCTGGGTGGGCGGTGGGGCTGTATTGAAGTCCTGGGCACTGGAGAAAAATTTCAAAGACTCTTCTCTCCTCCCTTCTCTCCCGCCACCAATGGACACAACCTGGGAAGTTCATTTGCAGCAGTCTACGAAGAAATTTACTTTACATCAGATCATGCACATATCCACGAGTCACCTCTGGTTGTAATAACACTTTAATTAAATGGGGATATTTGTTCAGTATAATTTTCACAAGCCAGAGAGATCCCATGGGTGTGCTCATGACTTGGGAGCATAAATAAGAATTCCCAAGGAGTGTGGCCGTGAGTGAGGAATTCCCGAGGAGCGTGGCTGTGAGTGAGGAATTCCCGAGGAGCGTGGCTGTGAGTGAGGAATTCCCGAGGAGCGTGGCTGTGAGTGAGGAATTCCCGAGGAGCGTGGCTGTGAGTGAGGAATTCCCGAGGAGCGTGGCTGTGAGTGAGGAATTCCCGAGGAGCGTGGCTGTGAGTGAGGAATTCCCGAGGAGCGTGGCTGTGAGTGAGGAATTCCCGAGGAGCGTGGCTGTGAGTGAGGAATTCCCGAGGAGCGTGGCTGTGAGTGAGGAATTCCCGAGGAGCGTGGCTGTGAGTGAGGAATTCCCGAGGAGCGTGGCTGTGAGTGAGGAATTCCCGAGGAGCGTGGCTGTGAGTGAGGAATTCCCGAGGAGCGTGGCTGTGAGTGAGGAATTCCCGAGGAGCGTGGCTGTGAGTGAGGAATTCCCGAGGAGCGTGGCTGTGAGTGAGGAATTCCCGAGGAGCGTGGCTGTGAGTGAGGAATTCCCGAGGAGCGTGGCTGTGAGTGAGGAATTCCCGAGGAGCGTGGCTGTGAGTGAGGAATTCCCGAGGAGCGTGGCTGTGAGTGAGGAATTCCCGAGGAGCGTGGCTGTGAGTGAGGAATTCCCGAGGAGCGTGGCTGTGAGTGAGGAATTCCCGAGGAGCGTGGCTGTGAGTGAGGAATTCCCGAGGAGCGTGGCTGTGAGTGAGGAATTCCCGAGGAGCGTGGCTGTGAGTGAGGAATTCCCGAGGAGCGTGGCTGTGAGTGAGGAATTCCCGAGGAGCGTGGCTGTGAGTGAGGAATTCCCGAGGAGCGTGGCTGTGAGTGAGGAATTCCCGAGGAGCGTGGCTGTGAGTGAGGAATTCCCGAGGAGCGTGGCTGTGAGTGAGGAATTCCCGAGGAGCGTGGCTGTGAGTGAGGAATTCCCGAGGAGCGTGGCTGTGAGTGAGGAATTCCCGAGGAGCGTGGCTGTGAGTGAGGAATTCCCGAGGAGCGTGGCTGTGAGTGAGGAATTCCCGAGGAGCGTGGCTGTGAGTGAGGAATTCCCGAGGAGCGTGGCTGTGAGTGAGGAATTCCCGAGGAGCGTGGCTGTGAGTGAGGAATTCCCGAGGAGCGTGGCTGTGAGTGAGGAATTCCCGAGGAGCGTGGCTGTGAGTGAGGAATTCCCGAGGAGCGTGGCTGTGAGTGAGGAATTCCCGAGGAGCGTGGCTGTGAGTGAGGAATTCCCGAGGAGCGTGGCTGTGAGTGAGGAATTCCCGAGGAGCGTGGCTGTGAGTGAGGAATTCCCGAGGAGCGTGGCTGTGAGTGAGGAATTCCCGAGGAGCGTGGCTGTGAGTGAGGAATTCCCGAGGAGCGTGGCTGTGAGTGAGGAATTCCCGAGGAGCGTGGCTGTGAGTGAGGAATTCCCGAGGAGCGTGGCTGTGAGTGAGGAATTCCCGAGGAGCGTGGCTGTGAGTGAGGAATGCAGGGTTGTCTAGAACAATAGCTCGAGGGAATTGGCGAGTCTCGCTGATGCACCCAGATCTGGCCCGCGGGAAGGGAGGCAGGGACGCTTCCTCTGTCTCGCCCACCGATGGCTTGGACTCCCTCACTCTGGGCCTCTGTTCATTTTGCTTTGCTCTACTCTTCGTGAGAGACAGAATGTGGAGAGGCAAGAGATGCCACTGCGCTGGGCCCACCGTCTCAGGGCCCAGCCCACTCCTCCTTGTGCAACTCTGTCCAGTTTCCTACTTCAGACGACTGGAGACCTGGACCCCCACGTCCCCTCCACCTCTTCCTAATATCAGTAGTTTTCTCTTATTCTGCATGCTTTTTTTTTAATGTTTGAGATAAATGTTTTCTTCCATGAAAAAAAATATATATAGTAGAGTAGGAAAGATACAGAAAAGCACAAAAAGGTCCTAATTTGTTTTCCCTACCCCAGCCCTCCCACCTGGAAACGTGGGGCATGTTTCTGGGTGTGTGTCCATCTGGTCTTGTCACCTGTTCTCTGCCCATCACCTCTGCGCCTCCTTGTCGCTCTGACTCTGAATGTGCCTCTGTCTCTCCATCCTCTGGTCCACGTGTATTGGCTCTCTCTCTGGGCTGCTAGCCCATTCATTCTTTCATACATTTACATGCAAAACTCATATTGAAGATTTACCCTGGCCCCAGTCCTGCCATGGGCCCACATGGATGTGTGAGCGCACGTTTGCCTGTACAGCTGTGTCAGGCCCTCGGTGCCAGGTCTGTCTGTCTTTCTCAGCCACTCCCTGCCTCCCTTTCTCCACAGATTCATTGAGCTCCCTCCCACTGTTGCACTTCCAACGTGTGTGGTGTGTATAGTATGTGTTACATTGTGTGTGAGCAGCGTGTGTGGTGTGCACTGTGCTGTGTGTTGTGTGGGCTGTGTGTGCTGTGGCCGTGTGTGTGGACTGTGAGTGTCCCTGCTTCCCCTGCCTTCCAGGCTGCAACCCCCTCTGTCGCCCATCTCTTCCTTCACACTCTGCTCCTTTCATTTCCTTCCTCTCTTCCTCATAAAATTCTACCCAGACCTTGTACTGGAGGTACATTTGAGCTCACATCCACACGTGCACGTGCGCACGCGAGCGCGCGCGCGCACACACACACACACACACACAAACATAGTTCATCATCTGCATTTTCTTTCATCTGTCTTCTTTCCCATTTTTTCTCTTGAAGGCTCCAAAAAGCTGTGGCTTTCAGAGAGAAAAACAGAAACAGACAAACACCAAGATAGAGAAGGAACAGCCACGGTTGGGGGGGGGGCGGGGCGGGGAAGTGGCCTGGAGAGAGCTCCGTGCATCATTCTCTGTGCATCAGTCTGTCATCCATCCCTCCCTCGCTCTCCTCAGCCTTCCTCTCCCTGGGTCTTCCCACCTAGTGCCCAGATCTGTGCTTCCCTCAGACTGTGACCCATGGACCCCGGGCCACTGTCCCCTGTCAGGCTCTGTCTGTGCATTCACCTGTCTGTCTGTCTGCCTCGGCCTGGCCCCTCCTGTTTCCCCTTTGCTGTGGTCTCATTAAGTGTCCATCTCTTCCTTTGGCTTCCCCGTCTCCAGGGTGGCGAGTGTATGTGTCCATGTGGCTGTGGCTGGATCTCAGTGCCGGGGGGTCTGTCTTCCTCCACCTCCCACGTCCACCTCCCTGCAGATTTTATTAAACATCCTCCTTCTTTTCCTTCTTCTCACCTCTCCTGCTGCCCTCTTGGTGTGCGTGCATTGGCGTGTGTGTATCTACCCATGAACCTCTTGAAAAGTTCATTTTTGTTTTGATTAAAAAAGTAGATTATTTTCGTGGCCCCCTAAAAGCATCGTGAGCTGGCAATTTACTGAGCTCCTCCTCTGTGCCCGTCCTGGGCCAATGCTGTTCCTGGCGGGGCTGTGTGTCCTTTGTGCCTTCTGCTCTGCATTTTCATTCTGCTCCGTTCTGCCCCCTGCCATGAGTGAGGAATTCCCGAGGAGCGTGGCTGTGACTGAGGAATTCCAGAGGAGCGTGGCCGTGAGTGAGGAATTCCTGAGGAGCGTGGCTGTGAGTGAGGAATTCCCGGGGAGCGTGGCCGTGAGAGGAATTCCCGAGGAGCGTGGCTGTGAGTGAGGAATTCCCGAGGAGCGTGGCCGTGAGTGAGGAATTCCCGAGGAGTGTGGCTGTGAGTGAGGAAGTGTACCTGGGAATTAATGGGATATGAAGTGAGTAGGTCTGTTTTTTTCCAGCTGCGTGTGCACAGATTTGTGTGTATTGCATGGACATAATCCCAGTCCTTCCAGCTTGAACCTGTGGGCTCCTGTGCTGCGGGCACCAATGTGTGTAACTGCTTCTGTGGACGAGCATGGAGCGGTGTGGGTGGGTGCAGATCCCTGTGGGCTCAGAGCACACACTACATGGGCTGCTCCTGGCAAGACCCATGTGTGCGCTGGGATGGAGGAACAGCAAGCAGGCGGGGGACACCCCACCCTGTGGGGACAAAGAACTGCCTGCGCATTCCCCAGGCGCCCCCTCCGCACCTGACCCACTGCTCGGGGAAGAGGTCCCGCACCCCCTCTCTCCGCGGTCTCGCTGTTTCTCTGTATGCCTTTTCCGCGTCTCCGTTGTCTCTGCCGCTACAGTTTCTCCTGCCCTGCTAGTCAGCGTGGCTCTGGCTCTCCTTGACAAGTCTTTGTTTCTTCCTATTCCCTCCCTTAACCTCCCTCTCTCCCCAGTCTGGGTCTTTCTCTGATGCCTCTGTGCTTCTGATTTGCTGCCTTCGTTTTTATGTCTCCCTCTGTTACTCACTGTGGTTAGTTTATCTTTTTCTCTGTGCCTTGCTGTTCGTTC